AAAGAAAATCATTCTTATCATAAGAAAAGAGTCCCAATATATTTTAATGAAAAATTCTCAGTTCCACTAATGGGACCAATGATAAAATATGCAAAATTATTGCTATTTCTTAACCATCTTGTATAATAAGCGGCCTATTTTATCTTTACGACTGACTGACATGTTAACTGACTTCCTTTAAACCAGTAAGTCTATTATTTTGTTTTTAAATATCTAAAGCATCGGTTTGTTAGAACAGTGCGCGACACAAAACTCTAGAGTCTTTTGAGCGGTGCGCACGTTCGCTGAAATCTGTGACAATGTTACTTCTATGGGAATGGTTTGTTAGAGTCTGCACAATTAGGCAGACAGTAGTGTATGTCGACTGATTATGTCGAAATTAATTTTAAGTTTGATTTGGACGTACTCATTAAGCTGCACGTTTCGTATACCACGGTTACCTCATCACGGTTGCTAAGGACGCAGTAACGTCACGGAATGAAAAATTGTGTTGACAAAAAATTTCTACTTCGGGTCGTACATTAATTTTTTTAAAAATCTAATATTTTATTGTTATTTAATGGGGTTTAAATTTTTATTTTTGACCTTTGTTCTGGTGTTTTTATAATATAGATAGTTTGATTTTTTTGAAAGACGAGCTACAAAACAGCAAGGAAAAATCATGTAATGATTTTCATTAAATTTCAAATGAATTACTTTTTATTTGAATTATAATGAGAAATATTGTGTGAATGGTTTATTTTAAACATTTTGGATTAGGGTACGGCCTGCGAGCTGAATTCGGATCACACTTTGTTTATATCCCGAAAATTTTGAAATTTTGGCAAGCCTGGCGCGAGCGTCGAGCCGTAGTGTTGCTGGTTGCTGTTGCCAAACAATTTTTACTTTTTACTGAAATAAAGGCTAATGGTAAGATTTAAGATCAATAGTCTGCAAATATTATTCACTATTATTAAATTAATTGCAGCTTTGTCTACCCTACATTTAAAATCAGACAAGATGGTTTCTTACAAGTATTAAACACAACGAAAAGAAAGAAACGTCAAAGGGGGAATGCTGAAGGGGAAAAATCGCCTCCACATATTGTATTCAAAGGAAAAAATATCTGAGATACATGGCTTGCGAAAAAGGACGAGGAATATCCAGGCTTAACTTATTCTGCTACAAAAAATGGGTGGATGGAAGCAGAAACCTTTGAAAATTATTATAAAAACAACTTTCTTAAAAACATCCCACCCGAAAGATCAGTTATTCTCATATTTGATGGGCATAGTTCCCAAGTTGCACTTTCACTGATCGAAAAGGCAAAGGCAGAAGACATTGTCATTCTAAAACTTTGTCCCCACCTAAGCCATATATGCCAGCCGATATACCTCAGTATCTTCCGGCCTCTAAAAATGAAATGGGACGAAGAGCTCGTAAAATGGCAATGGAAGAACTACGGCTCTAAACTTCCAAAAACGGTGTTTGCAGCTATTATATCCAAAATTTGCCAAAATCTGGATCCACGTTGATTGAACATGAATTTAAGAAAGCAGGAATCTATCCGTTTTGCGACACTCTTGTACCTATTGAGAGCTACGAGCCATAAGCTTACAAACGCTGGAGCGAAACTGAGGCAGGCGAAGAACCACAGAAAGCTGCGACACCTACAACAACCGCGAATGCCAACGAAAATTTAGCAATACCGTTGGCATCCGCGGACCCGTTCACATCTACGAAATCGTCGACATCCACGGAAAATGAACCCCTAGGAACTCCAAACTTTCAGAAAAAATCTTTCAAAGAACTACTGTTGGAACAAATTAAGCAAGCAACAAAAGTTTCTACATGTAGAAGGAATATCTGCAGAGGTGCAGAAGTGATCACTTCCGAAGAAGGTACAGCTAAGCTAAAGGAAATACAAAACGAAAAATTAAACAAGAATAAGAAAAAAGAGACTATAGACAGTAGCAGCGATGATGAGAACTTACAAGACTTGAGGAAGAAAAATACTACAGAAAGAATAAAATTGAAAAAATAATTGTGAAGACGAAATAGAAGGGATGAATCAGGAAATCGGCTTCTTAAATCAAATTCAGTTGGACTTATCAAAACTAGATGTTGGTGACTGGATTGTGGTCAGATATAAGCAGAAGAAAGCCATAAAAATGTATGTGGGACAGCTGACAGAAAAAGAACCATGCTTGGAGGCAAAATTTTGTCGCAGATTTGGAAAGAAGTCGAGTTTTACTGGCCTGTTGTTGAGGACAAAAGCATCATAGAAAAAGATGA